GCCCGACTCACGCAGTACGACTTCACTGTCCAGTATATCAAGGGTATCACCAACGCGGTCGCTGACGCACTCTCCAGAGGCCCTACAGGTCAGGCACAATGTTCTGCAACTGCATTTTCCGTGATGAATCTCGTTGTATCTCCAAATTGCGACCTTCCTACTCCTTCGATACCCATGCGGTTGCGGTGATCCCTCTGCTCAACAATGGGAGACGGGTCAAGCACCACGCCATCGATGGCGTTCTCCAAACGAAGCGTGGTGTTCGTAGATTCTACGTTCCAGCCTGGCTAAGGACATTGTGCGGAAAATGCATGATCATGCTTTAGAAGGTCATGATAGAGTCAATACAGCGGTGACGTTCCTTGCAAGGTCCTTTTGGTAACCAAGGATGCGCCCTTCAGTCGAGGAATATGTCCTCTCTTTTCCAGACTGCGAACAACAGATGACCCGCAGCACCCTCAAACGCGGACTCCTGCAAAGCCTGCCTAGTCCTGAAAGGATCTGGACGGGCATTTCAATGGATTTCATTGTGGGCTTACGGCACTCCAGATGCCATGATATCATCTATGTCGTAGTTGATCCGCATAGCGAATACGCTCATTTTGTTCCCTGCTCGAGTACCGTCACAGCAGTAGGAACGGCTCAGCTATTCATTGATTATGTCTAAACGCTCCACGGGTTCGCCAAAATCATAATTAGCGACAGAGATCCGAAGTTCACTAGCGACTTCTGGCGCAGCCTCGTGCAACGGCTCAACGTTGACCACAACATGACTACCGCCAACCACCAGGAGGCAGATGCTCAGACTGAACGAACTAACCGCATCCTAGTTCAGTATTTGCGGCATTACACCCAACAGAACTCATCTAACTGGCTTGATATTCTTGCTCGTGTGGAATGGGTTTATAATACTACAGTCCACTCGTCATCACGTTGCCCCTCCGCTTCCTGGGTCTACACAGAAACTCTCCTAGCTGAACCAACGCTGCATCTTGCTGTAGTAGGCCAGCCCAGAATGAGCGCTGCCTCGCACTTTCGCACACAGGTCGCGGCAACGAGGGAGTGCATGCGAAAGGCACAGGAACGCCAAGCTATAAACTACGACAAAAGACGTTCAGTAGTAATTTTGACCCAGGCAACTTAGTTCTAGTGCATTAGCAAGCCCTACCTAGCGGGCATGAGGGCAACCAGCCCAAACCGGTCGCAACACGATGGGGTGGGCCTTTCGCTCTCTGCTCTCGGGTTAATCTATTCGCCTACATCGTTGCCTTATTCTCGACATGGAGATGTCATCACACAATCCCAGGCTCTGAGGCGAACTAATCCTTAGTTGTCCCTCCATATCCGGCCAGCACGCAAGTAGTGATATACATACAGCTTCACATTGGCCATGCTACATCCGATGGCCGTCGGCTGGCACACGTCTGCATGGACTTCAGCAAACGTACTAAAGACAAAACAATAAACGTGGAAAGGGGACGGGACAGTCACCATCCAGGGGGGCCGCTCGTTGTACTGCTGCGGCTACGGACCCGGCCGTTGTGCTTAAAGCGTCTCAGCGTCGTTTCCAGTTGTCGTAAGCTGTTCTCCAGACCGCATAATTCGGTCGGGAGCCGCCTTTGAAACGGTCATCCCAACTTAGGGAAGAAAATGGCCTGAATCGCTCTCACTACGCAGCTCCCATGAATGCATGAGCAGCGGTCAGGCCCCAAAGTGCAGGTACCTGCACCAGTATAAAAAAACGAAGCTGGAACCGGCAGAGGCGCCGAGCGAGCTACTCTTTGACGAAAGAAGAAGGATCACAACAGCGAAGGAAATTGTTCTTGAAGCCAATTACATGCATAAGCTAGCCGTTCTTCGTGACAGAGCAACTGTACCTTAATCGTAATTATGAGCTGCGTTGTGCATGTTCACGCTTTCAGTTACTGCTGTTGTTGACCATCAGATAAGCAGCCTAGCTCACGGTGTCCTGCTCATTTAACATAATATTCTCGTTTCATGCGGCGTCCGTTATGCTTGTGTGCAGGATCTGTAGCTTCTTGCCGCTGTGGCGCTGCTGCTGTTTTGCCCAGAGTGTAAAGTTTGCTTTCCGCCCCTATTCAAGGACAGAACCGAGTTGCAATGAAGCTAAGCATTTGAAGCAAGAGTTCCCCCCAAAACAGCTGACCCCCCGCCCCTGTCCCCAGGCATCCTGTTCTCTATAGCGTTAGTTTATGCAGCAAAAGCGAGGGTGTTTGTGCATGCATGCAAGGTTGCCTTGCAGCTGTCCTTGCAGCGAGGTGCGTTGCAACGCATGTTAGGCCTCTGCCAATGCGCCGGCCCCAGGCCCTCGGGTAGCTGGGCTCACACCGCTTGTGCCGCCTGTGAACTGGAGAGCTAGCTACAAACGTTCTCGAAAATATTTTCTCGAGCTTTCCGATTCTACTAAACCGCACGACCGTCCTCGAACACGATAGCGGATCCGCGTTAGGCATTGCCTGTCCGAAGCCAGCACAGGAAGATTCACTGGGCCTCAGTAGATTTCCGGAAAGCAAACACAAATGCTCAATAAGTGCCTATAGAGATAGTGCATGCAGCAAAAAGGTTTCTCTGTGTTTGCATGTGAGGCTGTTTTGCTTGTGAGGGGTTTTGCCGGGGATCTCAAGGTGTACCTAAATGATTTCAAGCTGAGACGTCGAAATTCTAACTCTAGAAACGTCTTGATGAAAACTACTTCATATTTTCTACAATGGAAACGAAAATAAGCAAAGACAACAAACGAGCCGGGAGCCGTTGGTGAGTACAACCAAATGCGAGACTGACAGCTAAGCATACTGGAGCGCTACCCTGATAGGCGTGCATGCCGACGAGCAACCTGGAAGTTAGTCACGATAAGAAACCTTTTTTGAGAAGCATAGTTTACTGTACGTTCGGCTACCGACACTAACGGATTGCCCGTGGATCGAGTCGTATGTTGCGCAATATCATTCATTTTCGTGTTACTGACGAATGCTGCCG